CAAGTTTAGCTCTCCATAGGCTCAATCTGAAGCGATTAAGAATTTATCAGAATGCTGAAGCAGCATTCCCTTCACAAATAATGTGATAGATCCAAGTCCAAAAATCATGCTTAGTGTATAGTATATGCAATTAGAACAATAAAAAAAACAGCAACTGTCCAAAGAGCAAGGACAAGAACAGGTACGCATAAATAAATATTGCAGACTTGGGTAAGGGGGGAAGGATCAATACCTGTGCAAAATTGCTGATTCCTACTGTTCCAATGCCGTTTTCAACAGATATCCACTCATGCTTGTCTGTGAATTTGCGGGCTAAAATGAAACAAGCTTGGTATTTCAGAAAGAAGTGACATGTTGCTCACTTAAATACAACAAGACAGTTGCAGGCTTAAACTGTGGGGTTTTTTTACTGAGGTTAGTTTTGTTTGTTTTTCTTGGAAAATATTTTAAACAGCAAATACAATTTACAGAAGCATTTTGTTCTGCTCATGACATGATTAGTGACACGCTAGAAGCTCACTAGAGGTTCTGCTGAGAGCATTACTAGTTCCTGGGCAATCATCTAGAGACTGATAAAGCACAGGAGCAAAAGGAATAGTTCTACTTCAAACAAAAATTTAAATCTAAAGCATATATGTGTACTTTACTCATAGTTATGCATTTCTGTGATAGCTTAGTGGCTTTTCAAGCATATTTAGTGTTTGTTTCTGACAACCACTTTGTTATTCCTGGGAAGGCCGGTGTTAATGACCAGAAAGCGTGTCTGTGTTACAGCATCCCATTCAAAGTACTTCAACAGAGCCATCAGTTGAAGTAAAAAAAGATGCAACCTAGCTAAAGTGACTGATTCTCTTCCCTCCCCCACCATCTCCTATAGAGTCTATAACCTGGTTAAGGTTGTCACGGATCTATGTGAAATTAAGGCAAATTAATACAGGGCAACTTAAGTGACTCATACAGGTAACTGTTACTTAAGAGAATTTGCTCTCTGTTAATACTGTTACTGCGAGAAGAACACAGTAGTTATTCTGTATAGTTTTAAAATAAGCGTATTTAAGACCCTGTTAAGTCTCTGCATAGAATCATAGAATGGTTTGGGATGGAAGGGACCTTAAAGGTCACCTGGTTCCAACCCCCTGCCATGGGCAGGGACACCTTCCACTAGACTGGGTTGCTCAAAGCCCCGTCCAGCCTGGCCTTGAACACTGCCAGGGATGGGGCATCCACAGCCTCTCTGGGCAACCTGTGCCAGTGCCTCGCCACCCTCCCCACCCAAGATTTTCACAGCAATCTTACAATTCTACGTGTATTTTAGATCTGTAAGATTCAGGGCAGCTTGTACTAGCTTGCGTTAGAAGTAATTCCTTTTATAAAGTCATATGGAAAAACATCAAAAGAAGTTAATTGAAACAGGCAACATTTTTCTTGCTAACATTTTACCTGGAACTGTTCTTACTCTGAGCATTTTCAGCCTGCTTTATCTGTTTTCTCACTTCCATAGTTTCCCCATAGATACGTTCTCCGCCCCCCGCCTTTTTTTTTTTTTTTTAAATAATTTATTTTTAATTTTCACTTATAGCACCTGTCCAATCAGGCAAGGGATGTTGCAGAAGCTGGAGAAGATAACTTCTTAAACAGAGCTCCCTGTGTGATTAGTGCCAGAGCAGTACAGCTGGACCTTCCTTTTGAGTTCAAAATTCTCCTCTCAGGCTCCTCCTCTAGGCTGGACTCCTTATACCCGCTAGAGAAACTACACTTCTGCAAATCCTTATATATTTTCTAAACTTGTACATGAAGGAAAACAGAAGTTCTCACTGTAGACCTGCTGAAAACTTTCCACTGTGAGTCAGTTGTATTTTAAGCTGTTTCAATTGTAATGATCCTCTTACTTATGTCTGAACACACGTAAAAGCAGCAAGCCTCAGATAAAATGGTTTGTCTTTGAAGGTGGCCTCAGTTTTATAGACCTCAGTAGAGCAACGCATGATTTTGCAAGTACAGTACACAAAAAATTTTGAGTAAAATGCAAATATGAAGTATTTTTCCATGAATTATCACTCAAAAAACCCAGAGAATTTCAGCTAGCGTTATTTATACCTGCAAAAATCTCTCAGGACACGTTCTAATGAACAGAAGAAATCAAATGTGTTCGATCATTTTAGGTCAAGACATTAAACCCATAGGAACTTCATTGGAAATGGAAAGAAGAACGGAGAACGAGACACAATCTCAAACCCAAGCTGAACATTTGTGACATTACACATCACAAAGAAGCCAACCAATATCTTTTTATGTGGGGTAATAATATTGTATAAGATTTGTTTACAAAACAAGGTTAAAAAAAGAAACAAAACAGAAGACTTCCATGATCAGTTTGGAACACAGCAGTGAAATGTTCTCAACAGTTAGAAGAGCACATAAGCTCCTTGTAGGACAAAAAAAAAAAAAAAAAGTGAAAAATGAAAAATTCTAACCATGTAACAAAAAACACTGCAACTAAAGTAAAGGTCAAATTAAAGAGAGTTAATAAGTAATCTCAAAATTTGAACTTTGCACTTATGTGATCAGGTCATTAAATAAATCAAATTAAATGAATGCGAAATGTCAAAGCATACCAAATTTTTTCTGTGAGCATTCTTTTTCAGAAGAGTAACTAAATTTACTCCAGCTTCATTCATTTCAACATGACTTTGGTTTCAGCTTAACTAGCACATTCTGAATTCATACCTCCATTTAGTTTAGCCTGCTTCTAGTCAATATTTCATAAATATATACCTCAAGAGTGAAGGAAAACTCACACTTGCACAGAGGCATACAAAATTTTTCCTCTCTGCCTAAAACAAAAGCATAATTTATGTTATTCCTTCAAGTTATATCTATAGAAAAACAATGGGTATATTAAACAATTGGAATAGTGAAAAAAGCTTAGATCTTGATTCAATTTACAAATACTAACTAATAAATGTTATTTTGTTCACTTGTAGCGGAAGGCAGTTAAACAGATAGGTTAAAAGACCTGGAAAGAAATTTATAATCTCTTCTTAGTGGTGGTCATTACTTATATAGCACATTCTCCTCCTCTCCTATCTTTTCAACATTCCTGTCTTCTAAAGTACCACAGATTCTGTTTTTCAGACTTGTGTGGCTAACTTTCATTCAAAGAGAGCTTCAACAGCAGCAGATACTTTCTGCATTAACTCCATTAAGTGCAAAATCACGCCAAGCACCGAGGTGCAAGTCCATCTCCTGCCTTAACGCTTCTGTAGCGATACTGACAGGAGCTGGCGAGGCCCGGCCAAGCTCCTTCAGCACCAAGCAGGCCCCGAGGATCTGGCTGGGCTTTCCCGGCAGCCCAGGGCAACCCAAGCGCCGGGGCTGCCGCAGGCCTGCCTCCTCCATCCAGCCCTTTCTGCTGCTGCTGCTCCTCGCAGCTACCGACAAGCTGCTCCAGCAGGACGATCCCAGGGAAAGCTATCCACTTGTTTCGCCAAGTTCGTTTTCTCCACACTCGGCCCACTCAGCGACGCCTGCAGCCGGGGCCAGAAGGGGACAGGGCCACTTTGCTGAAAAACTGCAGCGTGGAGAGGAGGTGAAAAGTTTTCTGCCAGTTAATGGGGATGAACCAGCTCCTCGTGGGAGGAGGAACCGGGAGAGCGCCAGGCCAAGGGGCAGGTGGAACCCGCACCGCCGAAAGCAAGGAGGCGTTAATTGCCCCCTGCAGCTCTAAGCCCTTGCAAGGCTTCAGCCATCTTGCGAGGCTTCTCCCCGGTTCCCGCGCGGGCACCCCCGCACCGGCGGGCGGGGACG